AATATCATGATACAGGGAAATCAAAGTTTGCCAGTCATAGTCAACTCAATAAAGAATACCCTAAAACATATATAACTGGCGCTCCAGTGCCAAACAGAGGGTTCTAAGGATGCAAGAGAAAAGAAGCAAATAGCACATAAAGCTGTCCAGATTTGCCTGAGGGCAGACCTTGCAGCAGGAAATTTACAGGCAGGCGAGGGTGGCATGGGATGTTCATTGTACTGAAAGAAGCTGGCAGCCAAGAATTCTGTACCTCCAGAAGCTATCCTTTAATAATGATGGAGAAGTAGAGAATTTACCTCTCCCAGGCCTATCCTACAAGAAATGCTTCTGGAGCTAGAGAGATAGCTCAGTGGTTAAAAGTAATTGCTGCTCTTCCATAAGACCCAGCTTCAGATCCCAGCATCCACATAGCAGCTAACAACCATCTGTATCTTGAGTTCCAGGGATTCCAACACCCTCTTCTGGCCTCTGCAGGCACCAGGCACACAGAGCATTTATATACATGCAGTCAAAACACTTATACACATGAAATAAAAATAAAATCTTTTTTTTTTTTTTGGTCTTTTTGAGACAAAGTCTCCCTGTAGCCCTAGCTGTCCTGGATTCACCATGGAGACCAGGCTGGCCTCGTTCTCGCAGAAATCCACCTGTCTCTGCCTCCTGAGTGCTGGGATTAAAGGTGTGCGCCACCACACCCAGCCAAAAATAAAATCTTTAAAAAAAGAAATGCTAAAAACTGAAAGAGATGCTAGTGAGAAAAAATATGTAGCTGCACAAACACTCTCATACACCAACACATCAAAAGTCACTAGTAATATTAGAATGCTCTAATATTGTAAACATGATGCATAAACTAGTCATTATTTAGTATGGCCTAAAGAACAAAATAATTAATGCTAGGTAGGTATGGTGGCACACACCTTTAATCCCAGCACTTTGGAGGCAGAGGCAAGTCCATCTCTGTGTGAGTCCAGCCTGGTCTACATATTGAGTTCTAAGCTGTGGCTACAGGGAGAGCCTACCCCCCCCCCAAAAAAGAAAAAGAAAACAAATTTAAAAAGAAAGATGTAAACAAGACATCAAAAATTCAAATTTGGGAGTATAGTTCAGCTGGTAGGGTGCTTGCTGAGGAGCTGAGAATGCACAAGGCCCGGGGTTTAACCCCCAGCACCACATAAGCTGGGCATAGTGGCACATGCCTGGAGTCTCAGCACTCAGAGATGGCAAAAGAAGGATCAGAAGTTCAAGGTCATTGTTGGTTGAGGCCAGCTTGAGCTACATAAGACCCTGTCTTTAAAAATAATCAAAATAAGCTGGGCGTGGTGGCGCACGCCTTTAATCCCAGCACTTGGGAGGCAGAGGCAGGTGGATCTCTGTGAGTTCAAGGCCAGCCTGGTCTACATAGTGAGTTACAGGACAGCTGGGGCTACGGGGAGACGGTGTCTCAAAAAGACCAAAAAAAAAAAAAAATCAAAATATAAGGAGCAATGGCATGCAAATATAGAGATTTTTCTTAACCAGTATTTTCACATTTTATTTTATATTCATTACTTTGAGATCAATATTGAGTTGCTGTCATTACAAAATAGCATCTGATAATAAAAATATTTTCTTGGTAATGGTAACAACAAATCAAAAGTCTATAACTGACACACCAAAAAAAAAAAAAAAATCAAAGCACATAACTGAAGAAAAATCACCCAACCACAAAGGAAGGCTGTAAGACAAGAAAAAACTATAATGAAACTAGAAAATCAGTATTAAAATAGCAGTAGTAGGGCAGAGTACAGTGACACATGCCTTTAATCCCAGCACTCAGAGGCAGGAGGATATCCTGAGTTCAAGACCAATCCTGGTCTTCAAGAGTTCCAGGCCAGGCAAAGCTACACAGTGAAACACTGTCTAAAAAAAGTAGCAAGACCCTACCAATTAATAATCAATAAATATAAATGGATTAAATTCATCAGTTAAAAGTCATAAGGTATCTGGTGACTAAATGTATTAAAATTAAAATTCAAAAAGCAAGACCTAACTACATGCTGCTTACAAGAAACTTGTTTTGGGCTACAAGATGGCTCAGTGGGTGACGTGCCTGCCGCACAAGGCTGCTGATCTGAGTTCAACCCCCAGATCCTATGATCCTAAGGAGAGAACTGACTCCTGAAAGATGTCCTCTGATGTCCACATACATGCCATGGCATGCATACACACACACACACACACACACACACACACACACACACAACCTGCACTCTCACACACATACACATATAATAATAAAATGAAAATCAAAAGTAGTAAAAAGAGACAAACGTGATCATTATAAAGGGATCAGTCTGAAGAGGGAATAACTGTAAATATATATGCTCAGAACATCAGATATCAAATCAGAGCACCAAATATATAATATAATATATATATATATAATATATTCCCCATAGGTTGTCTTTGGACCACCATTCATGCACAATATCCATACACACATATACACATGTATACTAAGTAACAATTCTAGTAAAAAATTGACAGCTTTAAGGGTAGAGAACAGAATAAAATGAAATCAGAAAAAAAGAAAGGCATTATAACTGATACCACAAAACTACAAAGGAGCATTAGAGATTAATATGAACAACTCTGAGATGATCAGTTGCAAATAACTGGATGAATTCCTTAACATACATACTTTACTAAAATTGCGTTAGGAAGAAGGAGAAACCTGAACAGACTATATGAGTAATGAGATTAAATAAATAACTGGCTCCCATCAAAAAGCCTAGGACCAGATAGTTTCACTACTGAATTCTACCAGAGAGTAAATTAAAAAAACAGTATCTATTCTTAAATAATTCCAAAATCTTGTAGAGGAGGGAGTTCTTCCAAATTCATTTTACAAAGCCATGATTAATCTATTTCCAAAATCAGGCAAGGACACACCAAAAACAAAACAAAACAAAGACTACAGATCAATATCCTTGAACAAAGATGCAAATCATCAAAACGCTAGCAATCAAATTCAATAGGCCCTTAACCAGACAGTTCGTCTGGATCAAGTGGGGTTCATCTCAGGGATGCAAGAATAGTTCAACATACAGCTATCAATAAACATGATATACCACATTAGCACAGGGAAGGATAAAACTCAAATTATCATCTTGGCTGCTACAGAAAAACAAAATCTGAAAGATACATACAGGTAACCTTTAACAAATGAGAAAAGTTCTTTGCTTTTGGTTAGGTCTCAGTATCATCAACCTGCAGTTTTCACTTTTAATGTGATCACAATAAAAGTATCAATGGCATTTTTTAAAGCTACAAAATTTGATATTCCTACTACAAAATAAACATCCAGGTATATTCAGGCATGGTGGCCCACACCTGTGTTCACAGCACTTGGATACTTTAAAATTAAATAATGATTTTTTCTTTAATATTTAATGACATGCTGTGTGAGTACCACATAATACTGGATAGACAAATTATATTCATTCTCTTAATAAATACTACTGAAATCCAACACTGCTGGATGAAACAGTAAAACAGTTACACACATACACTCTTCTGACAGGGTCAAATACATAAAACAAAGAATTATTTCATCTCCATTGTGATGTAGAAGTACATAATCACATTCTCATATAGAGACCTACACAATTCCTAACGCTAAGGAAATGTCAAATTGAATAATTT